AAAAATAAAAAGTTGGGTGTGCACATACTTTTGAAACACACTGTAGTACCGGAGTGATGCGAGGGTCGGCCCTCGACCAAACTATGATCCTCTGTTCTGGGCTGATATAGTGCATCTAAGTCATCCCGTTCTCTCAACTGTACAAGTAGTTTCTGACCAGAAAGTCGGAGAAATCGACTGCTTTGGGACCTTGAACACAGCTAAAATGGCCATGATTCCATGTTCAATTCCTTCATGTCTGCTGCTGCCTGCCGAACCTCCTGAGTGAATTCTGTCCTTCTGTGCATGCCTTAAGTGTAAAAGCACTAACGACGAGCACAAATGAGATGCAGAACATGCAAATACCGCGAGCCTTCTATTAAGAGAAAGGCTTCGGATTTCGGATTCGGTTTCGTTCGAGGTGAGGTTTGACATATCGAAATTTTTCTCAAAGTCCTTCACTAGAAAAAAAGTTACGATCGGAAAAGCGTATCACCTAAACTTTTGACCGCCACTGTATGGGCTGATCAACGCCGCGCATCAATGCATCATGTCGGGATTAGAAAAGTTCAAAACGTTCCAACTGGTTTCGTACTGATTCATGTTTGGAGTGGGATGGGTTAATCACGGATAATAGACACTACGCTATCTCGGCTTTTGTCTGCTTTCTCACACGAAACGGCGCTTAGCATTCAGGAATGCAGCAACACGTTCATGCCGATGATTTGTAGACAAGTAGCATCGTGTCTTCTAAAACGTTGTGGCAACAAGTGTACTTACCGTTAGTTCAGATTGAGCTCTTCAAAATAATTAAAAAAATTAAACCCCAAAATTAGTTCGTCCCAAACACATATGTTATTTGATCTATACAAACTACTGCAGCACGCAGTACATATTTATTCAATCTTCAGAGCTCCTCTTTTTACTTATTATTAGAGTGTCCAAAAGTTTTGAGAAAATTCTGTTGGTTTTTTTTCAACACAAAATAACCACACCAATAAAATTACCATTAGAACAGTGATCAAGATAGTGGCCTTTCCTAGCCACAATGTCTCTCCATCAACTGGACTGGGCATTGATGCCATTCGCCCAGTATGAAGAGAGGCGTGACGCAATTCATTCATCTACCACCTTCTTGATTTCTCGACAGTTGGTTAATTTTTTTATGTAGAGCAGGCCTGTGGCAGTCACATGGGCTAAGGTCAGATGAATGTGTGTGGACCGCGGTAGCCAGGTTACACCAAGTCTTTCCAGCTCATTCAGCCTCGCGTAGTGTGACCGTGCATTATCCATCACAATCCAAAATCTCCTTCTGATAGGTGGGCTCCAAACACCATCTCTTTCAGTCGATAACAGTATATCTTGCGCAGTGCACTCTGGTAGGGTCTCACAGTAAAACACCCGGTTGAGCAGAGGAAGAATGAGCTCACAGCTTTCATGGCGTGAGCGCCTTGCTTTATGGCTGTGGCCTTACATCCGCTGTTAAGCAATGCGATTTCCTGTGTGAATTTTCATATGACATCTACTTATTATACTGAGAAATGATGGAGTCGGTTGATGTCGTCGTTCGCTTCAGTCGAGGGGCTTCTGACAAACACTGACTCGCATTCGACACTCCTGCTCAGTCAAGAATGTGCGATATTTGCAAAGCGTCCTGCTTTGAAAGCGACTTTTGCGTAGAATGTCGTGGATGATGGATCGAGGAGCAGAGATCGTTTTTCCAAATCCTGCCACTTTGAACAGGATTGCTCTGACGAAAGGTCAGGAAAGTTTCGGTATTTGAAGACAGTGGACGTTCGCTTCGGCAAACTTCGTCGAAGCAAACCTTTTCTAATAGGAGGCGACCGGGTCGTTCATATGACCAACTACAAAGGCGCTTCCCCACAAAACTCTATGATGCGTCACGTTTACCTCTGCTCCAAATTATCGCTGTGAGCACAGTTACGTTCACAACTTGAGTGTCTATGTTTAAGGCACAGTCCACGGTGATTTTGGGGCATCTAGTTCAAGACGAACAATGAAAATGATAGTTCAGAACAGTGCAAAAACGGCGAAGAAAGCGCGGAAATGGGCGTATTTAAAGAAAATGAAGCTTCAAAAAATAAGAAAAATTCAGGGTTGGACGAGAATGTGATTACAGAAGTTGAATGGAAAGGTTATTTGGACGAGCTGCTCAAACGCACGCGATTGCATACAGCTGGCTGCAATGCGTGCAAGGCGTGGATCCCGGTGCGAGTGGTGCAACCTCTACAGCTTTCACAATTAAGAACCCGTCCGCCTTGGGTGCGTACAGCGGCTAAGCCGGTTCTAGGCCCTTAGTACGTCCTATCTTGTCCGTTTTTCGACCCGACAGCGTCCCTTAGGCTATCTTTAGGGGCATAAGTACATAGGAGAGAAATCTCAGACACCATGGTGGACTGTGTCTTTAAGCAGTCATCTGCAACCACATTCGTAGGTTCGTTCAATGAATCGTTTGACAACTTCGGAAAGCAGATTTGAAATCAGCACCCGAAAATACGTAGAGCAGTATAAGTCTCATGGCAAATGGCCTCTTTGACTTGGGAGCCTTCCCTTGTCAATAAGTATCACCCACGTGAGGACAATTTCCGCGGGTAAGCCTCATTCATTTCTTTTGCAAACCCATTGTTCACGTTTGCTTTCCGGTGTCGGCGCTTTTCTTAAACTCAATTTGGGAATTTGGCCCTTTGAGACAACTCACTCCGATACAGGTTCCACTTCCATGGGCGGAACTTTGAAGTAAGCGCTCCGTTAATCTTGCAATACCTCCATTCATCCCAGATTTGGTCCGGCCTCTCCAGGTAAGGATGAAGGATAAAGTTTTTGGCATAATCAATCCCGACTGAGAGATGCGCCCCTGCACTCTACTTCTATTCAGAATCGTAGGGGCGTAATTAGTGCGTATGTGGCCTATGCAATGACTTGCGGTAGCCAGCCGATGTACAAGTCAGTGCTTTTTATCCTCCCAGACGAGTCTGATACCAACTGACCGACCCAGGAGGGATGGAAGGCTTGGTAGGCCTTGGCGGAACCGATCCAGGATTCGAACCTCTGACCATGCGTGTGAGATAGTGCGCCACTTGCCACTACCCACCTCCGCCTACCCACGTACTTCTTCGAATAATGCTGAACTTCGTAATAAACTCCTGACTTTACACATGATATAGAATAGAAATATAGAAAATATAGAATTGCCCTACATTGGGTTGACTAGTCGGTTTCTCTCTGCTCTCGACCAACTCTTCTTAATTTCAGGACAAAGTTACGCATCACTTTCCCTCTCTCTCCAATTCATTGTTCCAGCATATTTTACCCAAACATTTAACATTTCTTCCGGTCAATTCCAATGTATTAGGCTGTGGCTCTGAATGAGGCTCTTTCCAGCAGAGGTATGACCCAGCCGTCCAATGTGGTGGCTGCATTCGTGATTGACGATGAGGTGCAAAGGCATATTTTAGTGCAACAGTAACGTGAGTAGCGAGTTAAAAGGGACAGTAGCACAACAGAAAACGAACCTGCACCCATTCCATATATGAGACCGTGTTTCTTTTGACCACTGAGATCAGAACACAATACTTCAATGTGCTCGTTTTGATCGAAAACCTGGCAAGAAATCGTACTAGAAATGAAAAGGAAAACAGAAACGTGCTGCAACAAAACAGAAAGAAGACAGAGGTACAGCTGTGCAGTGAGGATACCCCAAATGACGTACCCTGAGATATTGTTTCTTATCTTTCCCATCAGGAATGGTGATAAGCTGCGCTACCATGGTATCACTTGGTGAATACGCGAAGGATTGGGATCTTAAAACTTTTTTTGTCGGTCAGCATAACTCATAGTGAAAAAAGCAAATAACATCACTCACTCGAAAGTCGTTAATGGCATAGAAGTTGTTGAGATTAGCCGCCGTTCTTCAGTGCCATCCACTTTCTCAATAACTGAGGATCTCTGAGTCTTTGTGCTCTTGTTGAGCGAAATTGCGTGATTGTCCCATATTGATGAAACCTTCAATCGGAGGCGTAAACCCCTTAAGATTGCTTTAGTGGCGGAATTCACTTGCCTTACCTGTATGAGTTTCCCAGTGCTCTGTATACGACCAGCAGAAAACGTTGGGACCTGCGCAAGATCACCGTAAATATCCTTCAACTTCTCTAGTGCACGTACATCAAGCTCGGCAGCTGTAGCAGAGCTCATGATTTTAATCGAGAAAGGAGCTCTAGCTGCAAGAATAGCAAGTCGCTGCAGCACCTAGAATGTCAATGTTTCTTTCCACTTCGTCGCCAATGATTGGTTACTGAATAAGACGAAACACTTTACACAAAATATATAGATTAGACATCCCAATAACTGTGGAGTAAGCGTAGTTTCCGCATTAAATAGAATGAACTATTATGTACATTAAGTTGAAGATAAACTAAATAGTCATGTCACACCGCTTGCTTTGTAATTGGGTCATCGCAAGCGGAAACCACAGGTTGCATCGGTAGGTCTGCATTTCACGACATTTTCTCGAAAGGCATGTCCCTCTCCGTGTTCCTTTCCGTTTGTTCATCTCTGATTATCCGTTTGCACAAGTAAGGTCAGAAACCGCCTTAATCCAAGAGGAAAACTGCGAAGTTCTCGAGGGGAAGTGATTACTAACCGAGGGCTCAAACCGTTCGTTCAAAGATCAACCGACGAACCGTTGTCAGAACAGCATGGTTTACATTCATCACTGAACTGAAAAACTGAATTCGAGATTTCCCTCGCTATACTAATCGGGGGTAATTTCGAGTTCAATTTTTTGCGAAAGCTTTACAAGAAAACCATTCGACTTAGGCTCTTCGGAGGCAGGTAATGGTAATGATTCCATCTTCTGAAAAGAATCAACAGGCGTAACGTTTTGAATGACAGAGGTGATATAGTGGCAAGTTCCGCACAGTCACACACGCCTGGTCCGGAGATCAAGCAATATCCATCTGAGCCGATCACCCAAAGTTTTCAGTGCCGCTCTCGAGAGCATCATGCGTCATTCAGAATGGGAAGATCTGGGAGTGAAGATCGACGTTACTTATCATCTCCGCCTTGCAGAGGGCATCATGCATCGAGCAGACGGAACGATGCTGGTCCAGTTTGACAATACTCGTAAAGAGATCGCCTCCAGACAGAATAACGAAAACGATGTTTATGAGAAACGGATTGGTACCTGATGCTCCGGAGCTGTGTAGAAGGCAACACGCGGCGTGGAAGGAACTAAGAATGTCGAGGGAGCAATGAAGAAAACAAAGATGACCAGCTCCGCGCTCACCTTTTCGACACTGCAGTCCTTGCTTTCACATACGCTTCAGAGAGTGGACTCTGCCAAATCGCATGCAGTTAGTGCCATTCAACGCGCAGTGAAAAGGACGATGCTAGGAGTTCCCCTATGCACGCAAGTGCCGAAGGGGATTCGGAGTTCCGAACTCCGTTAACGAAGATCAGGGACGCCGCTGCTTACGCCGAGTTTATTAATTAGTCAAGTTTATTTGCACATGCGGTCACCTTTTAAATATGTCCGTACCTTATTCCTCAAGCTTAAATGGGAAACGTTAACAGGGAAATGCGAAAGAAGTGGTTGCTAGAAATGTAAATTGGAGTATTACCAGGCATAAGAACACCAGTAATGAAAACAAGAAATTTTATTGCTTAGCAACTGTATAACAAGCTTGAAACAAACAAACAATAAAAACAGATTTTGCATATCTTAGAAATACTATATAAGTGATGCTAGGGACTGCGAACAAACCACTCAACGTAAAATTAAAAACAGACATCACATGGCCATATGGAATTGCTCGCAGTAGCAACAAAAGGTGGAAATGGCGAGTTCACAAAAAGCAGGAGGTTGAAGGGTGAGTATCAGTATCAGCACGTACCACCAACACCGAAACATGCTGAAGCTATCATAGATCGCCACTACGTGCTAGCCTGTCCCCCAGAAAACCCCTTCTTTTCTGGGCCGTCAAAACCATTATTCTTGACAAACTGCGTGTATCAACGCTTACCCAAAATGACACAAGGGGTTGCTTTCATAGTCCACGACCGGTCGCGCGATCGGTCGCTGGCCAAATCGTTCACAATTAATCGTGGACTATGAAAGCAGCCAGGGAGTTCACTATGGTCGAGAGGCAAATGCTACAGCTGAGCGTTGCTAAATTCTGAATTCATGCGTGATAACATAATATAAATAACTCCCTGTTCTCATTAGCATCACAAAAACGGCGCACAAATAATCTAAGTTGGTCAACAACAAACGAACAAACAAGTCAACAAACGAAACTTGCTCTAATCACCATGTTAGCGAAGGACTGCCGACATAGTTGTGTGAAAGACTACAGTCACGGAACTACATTACAACTCCTCGATTAACTTCTTAGATCTTTTCGCATCTTGTGCATGGGGTATAGTATTTTCATGTTCCCTAAAAGCTTCAGGTAGCAGCTCTACTTCTTGTCGAACTAAAGAATCTCTCAATGCCACTGCTGATTCAGGAGTTTCTTGTTCACGGAATAGAGCTAGATCGAACTCCACTTTTTGGTCAGATTTCTGAAATGAAAGTCAGTGTGGAACTGCTGAAAATAATAGAATACCGCAATGAAAGGAAGGTACGGCAGTAGAAGAACTATTACCTCCTCTTTATCCATATCATCATCACTAGTATCCTGTTCATCACTACTGCTGGTGTCACTTTCTTCACTACTGCTGGTGTCTTGAACTTTATGGATGTCAATGTCCAACTTCATTGCACTGTCGACTTCTCCATGCATTAGCGAATTATTAGCCGCCGCTATTTTTGGAATGAAGGAACATAGCCTGAAATAGTCAACAATCCGTAGACACTTGAAATATTAGGTCTTCTCACTGTACCTCTCAATAATAGCAGACGGCTGGACGGGTTCCGTTATCAACTTCTGCGGAGAGGGGTCAACAAGTAGTAACGAATCTTAAAGAAAAAAAAAACAATTGAAACGTTCAAACAACTCCAAGAAGGAAGGAACTATCACAAACTCACCTCTTTTCCTTTTTGAAATGTTTTTCAAGGTTGTCGTGTCTCGCACTGGGTTTGAACTCATACTCTGAGGCTAATTTTCAAAAAAAAGCATCAAGAAATCAGCTAGAAGCTAATATAGAAATGAAGATAAACTTCCAGGATGCGATTCTAATAAATTTATCATAGATTTATTAGCACAACTTTCTAGTGGTAGCAAAATGGTTGATCACTGAAAGTCTTGAAAAAAAGCTCATTACAATATGCCGAGAGAGGGGTGCGGCATCTTGTACGCGAATCTCGTCGCATCCACTGCGTGTCATAGCATGCATTGTAATATACTTGGTTTTCCAATGGTGAGCGCATTCATACTAGGTGCGCTTTGCTGCGGAAACCTGCAGCAAGACGGATCAGTCTGTTGCAAAACACACCTACTATGAATGAGCCCCCTAACAGTCGGAAACTCTGTGCTTGCGACTGCGGGAATTCATGTACAAAGCCTGCCACCAGAAAAGAGGACAACGATTCCTACCGTTAATGGCTTGATGAAGATATAGAAAAGTCTTTGAAACATCTCATACAAGCAATTTATCACAAACTCTTTTGTCTACCATCAAAATAATGATAGATAGCTGATATCCGAGCAAAGAATAAACCCGAAAATAGAAAAAAACGAGATGGAAAGCGAGCAAGGAAGACTAGCTGGCAGGAAGAGGAACAGCGGCGTCAATATATTCCTGTGATAGACTAGGACCATCGTTAGGTTCGTCCCAATCAAGGTGGAGCACAGCTGCCGGAGCCAAACCGAGAGCTGCCAAACTCTTGGTTTCATCAACTAGGAGTTCACACCCTTTCACAGGGTTTTTCAACGAAAATAGTGCTGTGTGATTTGATAGATGCTTCGAAATATACTCACGAACAACAGAGAGAGGTTCATAGCATCCAAATGTACCCTGAACGATGAACGTTAAANCAGCTGCCGGAGCCAAACCGAGAGCTGCCAAACTCTTGGTTTCATCAACTAGGAGTTCACACCCTTTCACAGGGTTTTTCAACGAAAATAATGCTGCGTGATTTGATAGATGCTTCGAAATATACTCACGAACAACAGAGAGTGGTTCATAGCATCCAAATGTACCCTGAACGACGAACATTAAAATAGTAATCGGAGAAGGAAACCGCAAAACTACCTGAAGAACGTATCTATCTGGAAGTCGAACGCGAATCAAGGTGTATTTGTATCTGAACTGACGCTGCATTTCATCCCTTTCGCGCATTTCACGAGTGCGCAGAGTAAGCATCTAAAACACGTTTTTTAAGGAAAAAATTTTTGGGGTCTCGTGAAATGTTGACATCAAAGAATAGCAGTAAAGGAAGCATTGAACTTTGGCGCACCCCGACAGAGATAAGAAATTTCGAGTAGGCACCTCCTGTTCGATCTCGACTAGTTCGATTGGAGTTACCTACGCACACCCATTCAATGAGATTTTGAATTGTTGACGACAATGTCGCTCAATTCTGCGCAATGTGCGTGCTTGCTTAGTTTCCGTGCAGATAGTCAATTTAGGTTTATAATCATCTTTGACAGCATCGACAGGATATCCATTGAATTTGATGGCATTTACTTCACTTTTTATTTACGATTGACAATCATAAATTTTTTGGGGACAGTCTAAGTTAAAGCTGAGTTTTACCAACGAAAACTTTTGCATTCATTTCATTTAGTCTTCCATTAGTCCTTTAAGTGAGCGGTCGACCCGCCCAAGGTTGCAGAAATCGGCAGTCGCAGCAAAATCGTTGACCAACTCAGTCAGGGTTACGAGGTGGAATACCCCATCGAATATAGCATTTTCCCGTCATGTCATGCGGTTCGGATCGCGTAAAGTCTAGAGACCTCAATTCCGATACCGTCCTGGGGCCGCCTCAAAGACTGGTACGAAGCTGAGACCATCGTCCCTCAGATTGTAGTAGGAATAACTTGTCTCTGGTGCGGCACCGAAATTCAATATCTCATATTCATATTTTGCAGGATTTCTGGACTAGCACAGTTGCTCTCCGATTGTTACAGTGAGCGTCACTGACCATTAAGATATGGCCTAAGTGTTCCCATGCGGGCCTGACACAAGGGTCCAATGCCTGCGCTAAAAAGCACTGTCCGTGCCTCTTGTTTTCTTAAACCAATTATCAACTCTTCAATTATTACAGCTTCCTTTCACCCATCGTCAAAGTACTCACATTGTTAGCTACCTTACCTCGAAAGTTGAACAATCTAGAAGCAAAGAAAAAGAAGTGAGTTTTGGTGGCACACACTCATATACAGGATAGCGATTTATGTAAATACATACATGGAGTATAAACGGTATGTTACTTCATCTACTCCGCCTTCAAGTTTTGCGTACTAGTATGATACTATGGGAATTAAATTCAAGGGCGCATGAGGTAGATAATGAAAACCTAATATTCTCAAAACCTATAGTGAATTCGCTCAACAGATGATTGAAACTAGGTACTTACTCTATTAACTTCCTCCGTTTTAATTTGTTGTTCACGACGCACTTCTTCAGCAGTCAAGTCGAAGAAATCGGGAGGTAGAGATGGCATTGTGATGCGCTCATTCTCACCAATGCGGTAAATCTGAAAAGTGGAAAACAAACGTATCATCTCAACAGAAACCGACTGTGCTATTATGGCATTGGACATTTGCGGAGCCCTTTAAACTTACCGTAGTTTCACGCGACACCTTGATCGGGACACTTTGCCCATCTCGTAACATGGACAAAGCTGTGACAAGTCGACCTGTATCGCTAGCGTTGGCCTCAGAAATAACAAGAAAACTTTCAGGAGCATCTCCATCTTTCATAGGTTCCAGTGCTTCATTGAATCCAACTGCATTGAGAAACTCAACTCCACCCTTCACACAAGCCACTCGTTCCTAAATTTGATTGTTTTACTAGGGGAGTGCCTTGGGTCGAAGAGGCCATTTGGACAACATGGTTCTTGACCACTTTATCATGTTGTTTTTTTATTGATAAGCTATGTAAATTGAATGAGATCTACTGAAAGGTCTCCAGAAGCATAACAACGGTTTGGTCAGCTTGAGCGTGGGGGACGGTACGAACGTGCGTCCGAGGGTGCGCGCGGCGAATTGCGCGGCAAAGTTCGTGACGATTTGTACGACTGCGGCGCTAAATTTCGGGGCACAAACTCGGAGTAGTGTAGTTCAGTAGGGTCGGATGATCCTCCTAATCCATTCTATTTAAAATTTGGGCCCCAATGACGGGCGCCGAACTCGTTCAAACCATTACGAACATCGCCGCGCAATTTGCCGCGCGCATCCTCGGACGCAAGTTCGTACACATACCCCTTGAGCGTACAAAGAACGTAAAGGAGCTTCTTATTACGCCGTTACACGACCAAATGTACATGCGCAAATTATGCCGGATGCTGGTCTACCGATGAGCGTCGCCAAAACTTAATTTCTTTCGAAAACACAATTACTGATATCAAAAAATACCTAAGTTGGAAGAGCAATGAAATTACTCCATAGAATTTTGACCGTGAAGTAAACCAACCTGAAAGGCTTTATTGCCCATTCTTATTCTTCTATATTTTACTTCTCCAGGATTTTCAATAATATTCTGTAGGTACTTTCCAATAGTTTCCACTGCGATCTGAATAAGTAATTTGAGAAACGCGCTTCAACCTGAAGTCGAATACATGCGGTGTTGCAGTATGAAATAAAAAAATAACGTGAGAAATGCGAATTTGTAGTTTTTTTTGTTATAAACTGATTTGCAGTTAGGTTTTTTGGTATAGCAGTTAGGCTACGCACGCTAATGCGTGCACCACATGCCCACTACCGCTTACCTACGACTTGTTAGAGAACCAATATGAACAGTATCTGTTGAATTCCCATTTCATAACTGTTTCCTCACCACGCTCACGTGACATTCATACTTTTCATCAACTTACGTAACTTTCGGGAGGACGCACAAACGAGCGTACAAACAGACGCACAAAATTACCGCTTTATATATAGAGACAGTCGTACCGCCCTGCTCACGCTGGGCTTCTCTCCTTCTTATGATAAAGTTGTGATAAACGGCAAACAGCAACTCCTTTGGAACGAAAGATACTTTTCGGAACACGAAGTTCGATAGAGGAACAATAGGGCATGCAAACGATATCCAAAATGCGCCGATGTCCATGCCTTTGATTAGGATCTGTCTGTCTCCATCTGTCGCTGTTGATGTTGAATGTAATGACCCATTGAAGATTTAACTGATAGGCATTCAAAGCCTTGTATGGTACTCACAAATGTTGTCGCGTCATAGTAATGCCATTAGGAAATGTCTGTATGAATGTGGCTCCTTTTCTCTGCGGATACATCATTAAATGAGAATCCAATATTGTTAGCGGTCGTATAAGCTTTGCCATGAATGATATCGAAGCAGAGAGAAAACGTGATTCTTCATCGAATCGCAAACTTCGCTGGGTAGTGGTCGTAAGCAAGAAGTGAACCAAATTTCATAATCGGTGCCTATTGATGCACTTACCCTTCTTGTCGAATGAAACACATCAAAGCATTACAGCTAAATCGTAAATAACAAAGGCGCTAGGATTCAATTGGTGATTGAAACTTGTTCTCTAAGGGCTCCTTTATCGTCAATGTTCCCGTCCCCCCTCTACTATTGATTTTGCTCTCCAAGTCAGTCCAAGGACCAGGAGTTATGGATTTTCCGCTAAAACATTTATTTCGCACAAACCCCGCCCCTGTGGGCGGAGTCTAGCCCTGCCACCCACCATACGTGTTCCCATCTTACCGCCTGTGCTCCTACCAAATTTGAACGTCTTAGGTCCACGGAGACAGGAGTTATGAATTTCCGTACAAACAGACAGACAGAAGGACGGACAGACATACGCGACCACATCTCTGCCAAATTTGAATACTCTAGGCTCAGGAGCAAAGGAGTTACACATTTCCGGTGAACTACACTATTCGCATAGGCCCCGACCCTAGTAGGCGGGGCCTAGCTTAGACCACGTGTGCCCAAGGAGTTTGGCTCATTCCTCACTTGTTCATCCTCAATCCCCACTTGTTCCAACCTGTCTGAGCTGTTCCATTTGATTTCCAAACGTTGCCGTATACCTTATCTTACAGTGAAACAGACATACAAACATACAGAAAAACGGACATTTGTGGTTTATATATAGTAAGGATCGGTATATAAATGAGATCTGTTCATCAGGCTCTACAAGCGATAATAGGTGTAAGCTGTTTCACGCAGACTAGCCCACTCTAACGCAGATATATCCGCATAAAAGACTACATAGTTGCGTGAAACACACCAGTCTGCGTCAGGACCTTTGCAAGGGATCTTTGCTGGGCTGCCTTTTTCTGTAAAGGAGTTGCGAAAAGCCAAACGGGTGAAGCGGTCCTTCAACGGTTCCTTGCAACGGTTTTGATGCAGGCTAGTCTATTTTTACGCAAACTGGTTTGCTTTCACGCAGACACATCCGTAAAACGGACTAGTCTGCGTAAAACGAACATATATGCGTATTCATGCATATAACTGCGAAAAACGCATCTACTAATTTATGATCTTCCCCCTCCTCCCTCCCACATCCTCACGCTGAATGGCGGTGGCGAAACTAGGTATCGCTTAAAGACTATTGTCCGAGCGCCACTTCTCATCCCACACCCTGCGTCGATCCTGTGATTTGCACGCTGCCGCACTTGGAAAATCGGGCCAGTGAACAAAACAAGAGGAGAACGAAACTCGATCATGGGGTAATCATTGTATCGTTAGGTTGTGTTTTTTCTGAGGAATCAAAAAATTGATTAAAAGAGAAGAGTAGGATGCCAATGATTGCAGCGCACTGATATTGAGGACAATACAGGAGAAGCTAACTTATAACCACCTTGCCCATGAAATTCCCGAGAGCCCTAGATATAGTCCAGGATCGTCAAGCGATCCTGTCGTTATCTTTTATACTTAGAGGAGATACCACCCTGATACAGAGGGCATATCATGAAGATA